GATTGGCTCAAAATTGAGTCTATTATACGCCGGGAGGTGAAGGATTTCAATAATAAGGAGGTAAAAAAGCTTCGCCCGAAGCCTCCATCACCTCTCAGCTCAAAATAGTATACTTAAAGGAGAAAACCAGGGCTTAAGGGAGGCTCTAAAGGTCAAAAAGAGACACCAAAAGAAGAGCTACACGCTTCAACTCAATAGGCCTGAGGAGTACCATGGAGGAGCTGTCTTTTGGTCTCCTAAGAAGGTTCGCCAAGCCAAGGAGGATGAGATGGAACGACAACAAGAACAACAGCAATTACAACTCCAGAAAGCTGAGAGATCTGAGTTAAGGAGACAAGCTCAATTGTACAAGCTTCAAATAGCCCAGGAGAAGCGTGTTGAGAGAGAGAGGCTCAAGGAGGTGAGAGAGAAGGAGAGAGCCGCCAAGGTGGCTCAAAAGGAGGCTCAAAAGGCAGCCCGGGAGGCTGAAAAAGCTATACAATTATCCCAAAGGGGTAAGCGCAAAGCCTTATAAGGCTCCTCTTAAAAGCAGAAGCGTCAGAAACGTGTTGTTGTTGATTCATCTCATGTACAAGCTAAGGTGGCTGCACTAGCCGTCCTAACTTAGACCACCCGCCACGGCTGCACCACTAAGCTACTAAGTAGATACAAGTAGCCTATCATGATCGCAATGCTATAATTACTACAACACTATGAAATCTCGTGATAATAGCGACTGTGGGTGGCTATACAGCCTCATCTTTTGCAATAGGTTTTTTGGTGGGGTGGGTCATTGCGCGTCCATGCAGGTTAAGTACGCGACCGACGCGAAGCGCAGTGACATCAGCACTCCAAGCTTCCGATCACTCCAGCTTCCAACACAGACGCACACTCCAAGCTCTCACCAGCCAGCACCAACCACGCACTCGGCTTTCGTGAAGCATTAATTCAGCAAAACGCCAAACGGCTGTAACCCAGTTGTAATTCAGTGCATCAATGGCTTCGGCCACAGCAGCAAAAAAGAAACTCGTCGTGTGCGGCGGCAACGGCTTTCTAGGTACGCAACCATCTACCAGCTTCCTAGTTTTGTCTAGCAAGAGCATTATGGACAATATTCACAAATTTACAGCTAACATTGTATTCCAGGAAGTCGGATATGCAAAGCAGCAGCACACAGAGGATGGAGCGTGACATCGATATCGTAAGCCCGCATCTCCCGGCAGCCGCTCACTTGTATTGTATTTTGCAGTATGCTGATGGTTATACAGCCGCTCTGGCACACCGCATTGGTCTTCAGTCTCGTCGTCGCAAACACCGCCTGAGTGGTCGGAAAAGGTATCATGGCAAAAGGGCGATATCCTGGACCCCGCGTCGTATACGCAGCACCTTGAAGGCGCCGACGCCGTCATACACAGCATGGGTATCCTTCTCGAGGCAGACTACAAGGGCGTTATCAGTGGGCGTGAGAGTCCGATCAAGGGCTTGCAGAGGGCTTTCAGCAGTACCAAGGCGGGGACACAGAACCCGCTGGCTCGGAAAGAAGGCGAGAAGCTGCAGCCCCAGGAAAAGGATGGTCAACTCACGTACGAAGTCATGAACAGGGACACAGGTATGGGCTGAGCTCTTGGATTGCAAAACTTTTCTTTTGTACGCCACTAACTGAGCAAAGCGGTTTCTCTCGCCCACGAAGCGTCGACACGCAAAGTGCCCAATTTTGTCTACATTTCTGCCGCCGCCGGAACACCTATCCTTCCCGCACGCTACATAACAACAAAACGCGAGGCCGAATCTCTCATCTCCACAACCTTTCCCACAATGCGGTCAATTTTTATTCGTGCACCCTTCATGTACGATAGTAGCCGGACCTTTACCATCCCCATTGCAGCTGCTGGTGGCGTTGCGAGCATGATCAACAGCGCAGTTGGAGGTCGACTGACGTGGCTCATGGGTGCAGGAGGTATCAAGCCATTGAAAGCGGATCTCGTGGGTGAGGCAGTCGTAGAGGCGCTCGAAGATGACGACGTTCGTGGCCCTGTGGAAGTACCAGAGATTGAGAGACTGGGCACCAGAGCTTGGAGGAAGAACATGTTGTGAAGAAGAGCTGCCCTCTGAAAGAATGTCGGTATGCTGAACTGCACAGCCTCGGATCTAGATATGCTCCCTGCTGGTGTGCGGCATTAAAACTGTAAATGCAGCAGAACAGAACACCCAAGTCACTCGTACTGCAGGTCAACTCATTTTTTGCGGCTGCCTTGATTGACGAGTTTCTTCTTCATGTGCTTGGGCATCTTTTCCTTTCGCTTTTCGCGCTTCTCTTCTTTAACAGCCTTCTTGTGGGCAACCTTTTCTTCATGGTCAATGTGCTTCTTGCCACGGCTTGGGCCCTTTTCAAAGATGCTTTGATCGACCTCGGACGAGTCTGAGCTTCCATCGTCGGAACCGGCATCTTGATCTGATGCATCCGACGGATTATTGATAACCTTGTCAGCAAGCAGAGCCTGGTAGGGCAAGTCAGACCCAGCGCCGGCGTTGACGAGCTCGGCATCACGCTCAATGTCGTAGACTTGGTCCAGCGTCTGCGGAATGTACTGGTTGCGGAAGACCTCGTCATCCTCGTCTTCCTTCTTCCTCTCTTCTTCGGTCAGAGGCCGGGTGCTCAGTAAGCCGCGGACCGTCTCTTCAATCTGCGGCAAATCCTTGATGTCTTTTGGGCCTGTTGCACCAGTGACAAATGCATAGGCTTTGCGCTCACTGAGCGTCTCGACGTTGCGCGAGCGGAAAAAGTCCGATACATTCTTGACATCCATGCGCAGGAACTCGAGCGAGCGTGGGTGATCATGCTCAACGGCTTGCGAGACGTCGATCATCCACTGCTTGCCCTCGTGGTACAGGACGTTGTACTCACTCAGATCGGCATGCACAAGGCGGCATGTCTGATAGAGAATCCGCATGTAGGCCATCATCTGCACGTACAGCTCTGTCCACTTGGCATCCTCCTCTTCGGTGGTCAAGCCTTCAAAGCGTACGTCTTTTAGTCGCGGCGCAGCCTTGCCTTTTCGGTCGCCCACAAAGCCCATGACCAGAACGTGGTTGCGCAGGGCAAAGACTTCGGGCGAGGGGATGCCCGCATCGTGGATTCTGGCCAAGTTCCTGCGCTCCTTGTCCGCCCACATCCTCACCATGGCGCGGTTGTTGCTCTTGTTGTATCCCTGCCTGAATCGGTACTCGCCCTCGACATACTTTGCACGGTCCTTGAACACAAGAATCGAAGTCTTGTAAACCTTGACGGCGCGGTGGGCGGGGCTCGCGCCTTCTTCCGACGGCTCTGAAATGGCATGGTAGACGTTGGCTTCTTTACCAGTGGAGATGACTCCGTGAAGTTCAGAAATTGCGCCGCGGTTGATGAGCTGCAACAGAATCATCTGCGTCCTTCGATCCAGTACCTGCTCCGTTGTCGCACGGTCGGCCTTGTCCTTGTCCCTTGCATTGCCTCCAGATGCGCCCGTCATGCGCCCGGTGAGTCTGATTTTGCTTGCATGCTTGGCGAGCGAGGCGACTTGATCGTCGATGGAGGCGTTTGTGTTTGCCGAAGGCTTCTGTGGGTTCGTTTTGGGCTTGTGGTCGTCTGGGATGCTCGTGTCATTCAGCTTGCGTTGGCGGTTGTAGGCTTTTGTGAAGTCGCCATGGTCGCCCGAGATCAATTCTGGCACTATTTCGTCGTCGTCGTCATCGAACAAGTCGTCAATATCGTCATCTTCAAATTGTTCCGCCGCATGATCCTCCTCTGCGTCGCGAACCTGCTGGGGTTGCTGTTCTGGCAATACAGCCTCGTTGGTGGTGGCCATGGTTGCAAGTGGCGTAAATGGGTGAGGGCACAGAAAATGTTCGAAGCCTGCGTCACTAGGAAATAATGTGGTCGGCAGAATGGCGGGGTGGCGTGGGGCAAAAGCGGTCAGCGCCACCCAACTCTGCCAATTCCCATACTATCACTTCACCATCATGCCAATTCTCATTTTGCTATTTTGAAAGGCAACAATCAACAGCTGGGGCATGCCGCCCACTACATTGCCGCTGAACGCTCTGCCGGCCAAGTAGCGGGCATAATGTAACCTTGTCTTCTTTGCTGTCATTTTCTCGGCATTACCTACCTTTCTCACTACCCTGCAGGCCCCGGTGCGCGATTAGCATATACTCGAATAAGACCAAGTCAACTGCAGCAGGGCACATCTTATCCTGGACATGTTTCAGCAACTCGTTCGGTATTGGCCAGGCTTGAGTGGAATAAACGTGGTGCCCGCAATACGAAGTCTGCTGGCCTGCAAAGCCGGGATTGCTTTGGCCCCGTGACCGTATCGCCGCCGCCACTTTAATTATATTCTCACTCAGCGCTCTCGAAATGTCGACAAGTACTTTTTGGTCGCGGCCTTCACGGCCCCAGCATGAAGAACCCATGTTCGTTTACGACTACAAGTAGGTGTATAGCAGGCAGACGATGTGGATGCTCGACGCGGTAACACGCTAGCTGCTTGTGGTTGCAGGATCCTGCGCCACGACGGTGTCAAGTTCACGCGTGTAACCTGCAGAGGAGCCTAGGGGCACCAAGATACCAACGGTGCGCGCGAACCAATGGCCCCATCAACATCGCAAAGCTTACGCATGCGGATGATACGCGACATTCTAATTTGGTCGGGATGCTGGGACACCGGGCCCCTCCCGCTTCCAACTGACAGGCATAGCCACATTTCTTGGCAACAGCCGGCGGCTCTGCATGCAGCAGCACTGCAACCGCCACTCCGCCCACGGGCTGCATAGCTAAGCATCCGCCCCTTGCATTATACCACGCATACGTACCACCCGATCTTCAGCCCAGCCGATCCTTTCGCCACACATTCAGGGGAACAAGCGCCAGTCAAAGGTACGTATGATCTCATCGTCGCGACGGTCGCGCAAGAACGAAAGACGGAATGCGTGTCGCTGCGCATCGCAATCTGAAGAGCAAGCTGCAAGCGACCAAAGTCTGTGCTATTCTGTTACCTTCTGACCGTCAGGCATGTCTCTGCTGAGGGCTAGCATGCGCCTGCATGGGAGCGAGGCGCAGGCACAGCATAGCACCGCACAGCAACGACAGTGTGGTTAGCAATGCTCCGGCTTCCATGGGACTCTCTCTTCCAATTTCCACAAGACAGCCCCGTCGCCTACCACGCCCTCGGCCATACGTGGGCGCATCACGCATCTCGAATTGATAGGCTGCTCAAGCAAAGAGATTGGTAGCGTAGCGGCGGAAACGTGGGCGAGGTACTTCTGGAACCTGATAGGCCAAGACGGACATCCTGGCCGAGGGCGGCTGGCAGTTCTGACACAGCCTAGTCTCCACCCACGGCTTGTGAAACACATCAGGAGAGCCGCTCCGGGTCGCAATTGACCACTCAGATCGGCACAGCGTTCAATCCAGCAACCGCATGAACGAACTCGACAAGCTACTCGGCCTGGCCGGCTGACGGCTAATGCCTGGGCACGGAGATGGCGTCGTACACAATCTCGCGACTCTTGGGGTCGGAGCTCCTTAGGCTGGCAGTTCGTCTTTGCATTCTTTACCCAGCCTTCTTCCTTGCTCATTCCCTCCCTGTTTTGATATTCACACATTCTCTTCAAACACTTCTTTTCTTGGACGCAGGGCGGCCACGCTCATTCATTTGCCTTGCAACACACACACTCTTTGTTGAGCTTTCGATTCTTTCACCCTGCCGCACTGCTGGCATTTGTCTTTACAACTACCCAAAATCATACTCGACCGGTTCTTCTGTGAAGACGACGTTGTATCCGACCTGGACACCTCTCTTTCCTAGCAAACTTTACATTTCAAATCCTCAGCCCTACAAACATGCGTTTCTCAACTTATACCACTGCAAGCGTCTTGGCAACGCTGGCCACTGCCCAGACCTTTACAGATTGCAACCCCATGGAAAAGACTTGTCCCAATGACCCAGCCATGCCCCAGACGTGGGAGACCGACTTCACTGCCGGAAAGGATGCCGTCAAGGGCTGGAAACAGACTGCTGGTAGCCTCACCTATGGACCCGATGGAGCCCAGTTCACCATAGCTAAGAAGGGGGACGCACCTACGATTGGTTCGCTGGGATACTTTCATTTTGGTTACGTCGAGGTGGTCATGAAGGCAGCCCCTGGTGTAGGCATTGTCTCGTCTATCGTTCTCGAGTCCAACGACTTGGATGAGGTAGACTGGGAATGGATCGGCGGTGTTGACAGCCGGGTCCAGCAAAACTACTTTGGCAAGGTAGGCTGCAGCAAACCTTGTTCCAACTACATGCTGCAAGAAGCTAACCACAGTCACAGGGCAACACCACCACCTTTGACCGCATGATTGAGGCCGATGCCGCCAACAACCAAAAAGATTTCCACAAGTACGCTCTCAACTGGACGGCCGAGTCCCTTACCTGGATTATTGACGACAAGCCTACGCGCACACTCAAATTTGCCGATGCAAACGGCGGAAAAACCTACCCTCAGACCCCTTGCAATGTCCGTCTCGGCAACTGGGCCGGTGGTGATTCAGATAACGAGGGTACCCGCCAGTGGGCTGGAGGAAACGTCACTTACGCCAATGCGCCATTCACCATGACTGTTAAGAGCGTCAAAGTAACAAACTACTCTCCTGGCAAGGAATATCAGTGGACCGACAAATCCGGCACCTTCCAGTCAATCAAAGTCGTTGATGCTGGTAACAAACAGGGTGCCGCTGTCAACAGTGCCCCCATGAACGCCACAGCTCCAGGCACTTCGAACAACAACATTGGCACGGGCGTTGATACACCCGGCGTCAGTGGTGTGGCTGGCAACGGCACCAACAAGGCAACCCCTTGCGCATGCGGCACCGCCTATGTGACTGTGACTGGTGCTCCTCCCGCCATCACCAACGCGCCTCCCGCGACCTTCACCACCGCATACCCCGCCATTCCTCCCCAGAGCATGAAGAGCATAAACCCTAAATCATCCGCTTCTTTCGCCACCACCGGCCTGGCAATCGACACCAGGTCTGCGCCAGGCGTCATTGTTCCATCTGCTCCTACTGGCGCCATTCCTCAGCCAGTGACCAACGGTACTGCTAGTGCTAAGCCTCCCCAGTTCACAGGCGCAGCAAGCCACGTCAAGGCTGGCGGCATCTTTGGTGCTGTGGCTGGAGCCGTGCTGCTCGCCTTATGAGTCGACCTTTGAGACGACAGTGTGTGAAGTAGACTGTTTTCGGATTAGAAATAAACGTTCTTTTTTCTTCTCCTTCTCTTCTTGTAAATAATCAAACTGGCTTAATTGCCTTGGGATAAAATACACGTGTCATGGCCATGTGTGCGACGTTTCGTTTTTTTCTTCGTGTTAGATCTTCGTTTCTTTTTTTTTCTTTTATCCGTTTACTTATATTTGTTGACGTTTTGTTCTTTGAACATGGATGAAATGACAAGCACGGGACAGGTAAGTACACATTATACACCCGTGGGCGAATGACACGAAGAGGAAAAAACATGCATACCCATCTCGGGGGCTTTTGGGGTTTGCGATAAGTTCCAGTTATCAGACTGACTAGAGATCATTATTTTTTGTTAACAATACCCCGAAATCGGGGGGGGGGATTTATGCATGTGACCAGATCATTCCTACAGTTTTCCTCATATCCTACTCGCGACTTTTGTTTTTAAAGGTCTGGCAATTTCTTATACTGTAAACTACAGACATCTGACCTGCTCGCTTGCGCTCGCCTAGCACCATATATAAGCCCAGGTCTCACATATAACCATCCCGGGGGCCAGGGGGGGGGCCTGGGTAACAGAATATAGTCCTCAGACATCTTTGCTACCCCAAAGCCGACGGCGGCGGCGCCACCACCTCTCCTTCTTGTCGTCATCCTCCTCCTCCTTCTGACCAGGATACACGACCGCAGCAGCAGTAGCAGTAGCAGTGGCACTCTCGCAAGCCCTACCAACCGGAGACGCCGACGCCGCCGACGCTGCTGCTGCTGCTGCTGCACGCCCATGTCCAGCACACGCACGTCCGGCACGTCCATGCCGACCACGCCCGCGATTTCTAAACCCCGCCACGGCATCACTCCTAGCCAACCCGTTCCCGTGGCTGAAAGTCGATGCCGACGGCGGAGATGAGAGAACGGGAAACTTTGTATCTGCAAAGGAGGAGCGGCGTGCGTATTCTAGCGTTGCGGATTTCCAGATCGAGGTGGTGGAGGTGCTTGGGACGGGTATGACGCTCCATTTGCAGCATTTGCAAAAGGGGAGTTTGTACCATTTACATGTCCTGCTTTTCTTCTTCTTGTTCTTGTTGTTCTTGGAGTGGTGGTGTTGCTTTTGCCGCTGGTGGTTGTAGTCGTGGTTGTGGTATTGGTGATGATGATGGTGGTGGTGGTGTCGTAACCTCCTCGTCCTCCTTTCTTCGCTTCCTGTTGGTATGTTTCTCCCTCGTTTCCTCACAATCTTCTTCCTCGGTCTGGTTTTTCTTCCGAGTTCTAGCTTACCACTGCTATTACTACTACTTCCACTTCCACTTTCACTCTCACTACTACTTCCCTCGATACTCGCCTCGTCTTCGCCCGGCCTCCCCCTGCGCCTACGCCTCTTCTTCTTCTTCACCGGCCCAGCTCCCTTGCGTTCGGGCACGCCGTCGTCGGCCGGTGATGCTAGACTCGAAGTGGAGGCTTCGTCCGTAGCAGCCTTCTTTTCCTTGCTGCCCCACCGCGTGCGTCTCAGCATGGTTTCAAGCTTGCTGCCGGGAATGCAGTGGAGATGCGGGGCGTAGGGCTGCGTATTGGGTATCCCGTAGGGCGTGCTGAAGGGACTCGGGCTCACGGGTTTCAAATACGAGAGTTCTGTGTCGGGGCGGGGGTCGTGTGGGAGTGAGGTTGTTGAGAGGAGGTGCAGTGAGGGTGAGGTGGACGCGGGATGGGTGTGCTGGGGTGATGACTTGACACTGTTGTTGGGGTTTTCTGAGGCTTGGAGCGGGGTTTGTGGTGGGCTGGGGGTTTTGGATTCCACGGGATGAGGACATGGAGTGGCTGGGGTCGAGTATGAGGATGGTGTTGCGCCGGGGACGATATCGCGGGTGTGCGATGAGAGACTGGCTGGTGCCGTTTTTGCTGCATATCTACCCGGAGAAGTGTTTCTGGTTCGGATGCCCGGCGAGATCTTGTCTGAGGAGCTGGTTGATGTAGCCAATGCTTGGTTTGAGATGGGATGCTCGCCATCTTGATGCTGGGTGGCTTTCTCCGTTTCCTCTTCTTCTATCCTGGTCAGTTCAGAGTGGTAGGAATGCTCTGATGTAGGGACAGATGTGTGGACTAGAGAATGGGTTGTCATTTCTGCGGAAGCAGAGCTGTGTCGTAACATGTCGCGATTGGTCGTTGCTGGAGAAGCACTTCCGGCTTTGATAACGACTGGGGGATGTGTATGTGATCGCGAGATTCCGTGATTCTGGGATAAAGACGTGCTTTGCGATTGCGCATCAGTAAGGTTCTGGTTGCGTTCAATGTGCTGGATAAGCGAGGAGACGTTGGGGGGAGCCATGGTCAAAGGCGCTAGAGTGCTGCTGTTTCTGTGGCAGTGGAGCAGAGAAAATACAACAAACAAAGGGCCTGAGTTTATAATCTTATTTCTTCAAGGCTTCTAGGCGCTGCTCCACCTCAGTCTGGCCTTTCTCCCATACAGCAATTTCACATGTTAGCCTCAGGCCACAGCCTGTGCCTTTTTAGGGGACTCGTCTTGACGTATTGTCGTGAATAGACACTTGGCATCAGGGTCTTTAGTGGATGTGGATATGCAAGGTCCAATCAGTCAACCTGGATTTGTATCGAGATCAGAGATGTCAACAATCAAGCTCATCAAGCCGAGCTAACGCGATATAGTAATGATTAGGCCTAAAAAAGCTAGCCTATTACTGTATCAAGTTAGCTCGGCTTGATGAGCTTGATTGTTGACATCTCTGATCGAGATTCACCAGAGCTTTCGACCCTAAAGTGTGTCGATTGAGCAATCAGTTGCAAAGGCGTATCAACCTATGAGCGGTCATTGGAAGATATCCTATGAGTCAATTTGCTGTTCTAATATTTATTCTCGTTTCGAAAGAGATAAAGTAACCGCGCGTACATGTTTCCATCAGTAGTGTTTCTGGACTAAGTCAAACCATGGTACCTGTGTACTATTCTTAGAATCCAGACATCGGTCCACAATGTAGACTCTTTTGTCACTTGAGCGTCCAAAAATAGGCGGCGTGACAGAATTGTTCTTATTCCACCCGCTGAAAAGCGTACTCGATATTTGGCGCGACACACCTCATTCCCTCAATGCAGCATACACGCTGGAGTATCGTCTCTCGAAGTTCCAGTGAGTGGGTCTTGTCCCTGACTCAACAATGTTCCTATTGAAACTTGTTAGCAATCGATGCTCTTTGAACAGACCACCATGCTTACCTTGGACTGCCCCTGATTGAAGCATACTGATTTTGTAATAATCTTTCGATCATAGAATCTCAGAGCATCATTTATTTGTACGTCGGACGAAGAAAGCGTCCGACAGTCAGACCACATGATGTTGGTAGTAATCCTTGGTCATCGAGTTAACCATTGGCATCGACAGTGGTCTGAATCTTCTTGCAGTCGTTTCTGATACTTTATCCGTGCCATGAGCTTTGATGCGGAAGCCGCAGCGTCAGCAGCAGGATTGCTGAGGGCTAATGTGAATCTTTCTGCTTGAGGAGACAGAGTCGTGTCGCGCCCAACCACCATTTTCTCACAGTATGGGGTTCTTCCATTTGGTATGCGCTCTTCAACCAGCTTGACAGAGTATGGTATTGTTGGGATCCTAGTTGGTGTAGTTGTGTTTGACGTATTTGGTTTAGTTGTTATGTAATCGGCTTGGCTGGATTTGCTGGTATAGATGTAGCCTTCAATCAGTGTCTCGTTAAAGTTACACTGCCAAAAACTGTCCCCCGGTAAGGGAGCAGTGTTTTGTCTCAATGCCAGCCCTTTCTGCGCGAAACCAAAGTCTTTGTCGCTGAGCAAAACGGTCTTGTCGTAAGTGGTCCGAAAATAATATGTTGGACTTTCATCGGACCCTGCGTCATGGAGTGCTAGCAGTTCAATTGGTGGGAGAGTTGGTATACGCTCACCATGGTTCATGCTATCATTTCCAGAAAGCAAGCCAATCGTGATCATTGCACCGTTATTGCTTCCCATTAGTGCGGGAAGTATGCTCAGTTGTAGTGTTGTTTCAGCAGCGCATTGCCATGCTACGGATTCATTCATTCTCGCCAAACAAACTGAACTTTGCTGCTGCGGAAGTCCAAGGGGAAGTGCAAAAATGCCTCGCTGGATGGCACTGGTGCTAGCTTGTCGAGAGCTATCACCAAGACTGCTTTCGGTAGACACTTGTCTGCAAGACTATCGTCAACAATGCTCTGGCTTGCCATGCTGTTGCGTATTACCTGGGCAGATATCGGTCCTTTACAGCCATGAGGCCTAGACCAATTGTAGAGAGCATTAGAAACTGTAGAACAAGCAAGGCTATAATGCGTTGCCCCAAGGACATGCGATACCACAAGCATCCTGGTAGTGTAGGCAAAGGTTTTTCGCAAGAGTTTTTCTTTTCTTCGGATGCCACGAACAACTCTTTCTCTGCTTGGTCGGGACTCAGTATCGGCACAGACTGGTTGTGGCTCATTTCAATAGGAACAACCTCAATACCATCCTCGATCTGCCTGATCAAGCATGTCCCTGAGTCAATACCTGAAGTATCGCTTGATTGGTTGCTATCGTAGTTTGGTGGAAACGCCGTGTAAATACTAGGTAGTGGCTGTATGCTGCTCACTGACCGGTGAGGAAGCCTCATTGAGAGCGTCGAGGTGTATGATTAGTCGAGAGGCAGATAAAACTAAACTAGGTGCGTCTGGGCCGGCCAGATGCTCGGTGCTGAAGGAGTGAATAAAAAAAGAAGTCGAGGAGAAGATGGCAGCCAGTAGATGCGCTGAGGATATCTGGACCTACAGCATATATGGTATCTGAAAAGGATGATCATGATGTTGAGTTCTGGATGCTGAACCCAACCGTTCCCTTCGACTACGCCGCACACATAGCAGCGGTCGATATCCAACCAACAATATTGTGCAGACGAAAGAAGCAGTTCCGAGCTCGTCAAGATTCATGCTAATTAGACTAGGCAGCGCGTAGCTTGACATGCCGGCTTGACATGAAAATGGCTTCCCGGTTGAGTTAGGTAGCGGGAGGAGTGGTTGGAGCCGGAATTTAGTATTGGCTCTGCATTCACCGCAAAATGTTTTGTGATGGTTGCGATAGCCGCCTATACATATGCAGCTGCATAAGTGTCGTGGGTTAGGCCATCACTCGATTCACGGCTTAACTCGAGACAGCATAGCCGGTCGCGTGGCGCAGGCCGAGGTTTGGCCACGCTGCCAATGGGCGGATAGCATTGTGTTTCATTGGGGGCGGCTTGAATCAGGCGCATGCAGTGCTTGGTGGCGGAATAGGCGATGACAGCCGGGGGGATCGTGGAGTCTGCGCGCAACGAGTGCTGTGATGAGTAACCGCTGTTCAGGAGCGACGTGACGGCGGTCGCATCGAGGGCCCGAGAGGGAGGCACAAAGGCACCAAGAGCTGTTGTGGGGGGTTGGGGGGGTTCTCTGGCGGCTGGCGGATAGCCGGACAGGGGAGAAGGCGCAGGAGGGTGAATTGATTCTGTCGTAACGTGACCTGGGGCGCTGCAATGCGAAAAGTAAGCAGTGGGTGGGTGCGCGCTGCGGGCGGGAGCTTCGCTGGTCGTCCCACCCCACCGCCTCTAGACTGGAACCAGACAAGGCATTATTCCATCAGCACATGCGACGTGATGATCAAAAGTGCATCATCGATTCTTTTTCGTTCCGCGCAAGAGGAGGGTGTGCATAGGTGTCGGCGAGCCCACCCGCAAGGCATCGCGCTCGAGTTTTTGTTTCCCCAGCCACGTGCAACGGCAAAGACGTTTCGTCTAGAGGACGTTTTGAAACGGCACGGCACCCGCCATTTCACCATTGTTTTGAACCCATCAAGAAAACATCACATAAACACCTGCCATGGCCATGGGACAGCAGACAAGCATGTGGGCCAAGCCTCCCAGCCTCCGGTTGGGGGCATTCTCAGTCACCATAGCCCCCCCAAAACCGCAGCAATCTGCATGCGCATCAGACTTGGACCCCGCTGATGGCTAAGCATATGACCTAAGGCAAGCCGGCATCCTTGCTGACGGAGGCGCTTTTTCTTTCTAATATTAGGGGCCGTCGTAACATGTGGCACGCCCAAGGTGTCGAAGGCAGATAGTCGGCTTGGACGTGTCCTACCGGAATGGGGTAGAGGGCCTCAGCCGCACATGGTACTTGTTGCACTGTATAACCCTGGGCCTCCACCCGACAAGTCCTCGTCACTCCTGGCTTCTTTTTCTGATATCCACAAGTCTCGTGTAGACCGACCGACATGGGCATTCCACAGCAACTTCGTCTCCCAAGGCCCGCCTTTAAAACTTCGCCCTCGTCACCAGCGGCGCCATGGTGGCCGCTCTTCGCCTCGTGTTTCCTGCTCTCGGCTCTATCGATTGCCAATCTGGGGCTAATCAACTCCATGGTCGGATGGCTCCTCAAGCAAAAACACAATGTTCATACCTATCAAATCGACTGGCCTGGAAACACGACCCCGTTGAACGTGGAGCCCAAGCACCTGTGGGCCGACCAAGGCCATGAGAGCAATGGCGTGGCAGGATACGGCTTCTTCCTGGGAATCTTCGGCATGGTAACGGCGTGGAGAATGCGGAGCGCTCAAGGGGTATGTCGAATCCACGTGCCTCGTCCTGCTGTGCAGCATAACTAACATCCATAAGCAGCGCGTGAGGAGTCTAACGGCACTCGTGGTTCTGCTGTCTCTTGCCGTCCTGTTCACCCTGTCGGCTTTCATCTTCGTCTTTGTAGTCACATATCAGACGGCTGGTCAGTCTATTCGCGAGCCCGTCGCCTCCAACACGGTCGGCATGAACTACCCAGAGTTTCACTGGACACCCGAGACTTGGTTCAAAGCCGTCTTAGATCTTCCTCTAGCGGACCCGGCAGTACGAAAGGACATGGACCACAAGGTCACGAACATGGTGGCCTGGCGGTGGATGTTGCTCGTGATCTTCATTGCGGATGTCATTGCGTTTAGCATGGCGACTATGGCCTGGTTGAGGCAGCGTAGGGGTGTCGTTGCGCGAACGGACTCTGCAAACGATGTAGAAAAGTGAAGACGCTCTGTTACACGTAGTCTCTATAATAATACCCAACAAGCGGCGTCCGTGTAATATTACATGCTGGTTATTTGACCGCCAAATCTCACATGCCAAAGTTGCACCGGACTTGCAGCCCGAGGAACCTTGCAGTTTGCACTCGTGAACAGGCCGTAGAACGCGTGACACCCTCTCCGCATTAGCCTGCCCCGGACAGGCAGCACATGGCCTTGCCCGGGGCAGTCATATTTCTCCAGATTATCCCCCAGAAACTACATGTCGAGAGCAATTGTGTGAAGTTGGCAGAACTGATAGAAGTGAAAAGCCCGAACCCCCCCACGTCATCCGCCACAAAGCTTAGCGAGCCAGGTGGGAACCAGCGAACCTCGGCGGCATCACCATTACCGCTAGGTATCACGAAAAAAACGTAGCCCCTCCCCCTCGCGAACCACGCCGCCAGCCTTCGCCATGAGCTGGCTCCTCTACCTGGCCATATCGCCCATAGTCGTCATCATGGCCATGCGCCTGCTGTCGCTGGTGCTGCCCGCGCGGCCTGCGCAGCTCATCTCCTTCTACGCCTTTGCCATAAGCTCCTTCATTCTCATGGGCGGCTGCGCCCTCTACGGCACCCTTGTGGCGATTCCGCTCCGCATGGTGGGATACGGCGGCCTGATCCAATGGACCGTCGCGCGCTCCTTCAAGTGGTGCATGTGGCTGGGGACGGGCGTGACCTTTAGGGTAACGGGCAGCATGAAGAAGGAGGCCGGTGTCAGCGGCGAGGATGCGCTCAACGACCGGCCTGCCGTCTTTGTCGGCAACCACCAGACGTGAGTTTATTTATTTATTCTTGCCAAGGCCAGGAGAGACACGGAGAGAGAGAGAGAGAGAGAGAGAAGACGTGTAGCGGTGGTGCTGACGCTTTTGTACAGCGAACTCGACGTGCTCATGCTGGGCTGCATGTTTCCCAAGTACACGTCTGTCACGGCCAAAAAGTCGCTCAAGTATGTACCGCTGCTGGGCTGGTTCATGGCGCTGTCCAAGACCGTCTTCATCGACCGCGCAAACCGCACCACGTCGCGCGCTGCCTTCGACACGGCAGCCCAAACCATGAAGTCGACGCGCCAGTCCGTCTTCATCTTCCCCGAGGGAACTCGCTCCTACGCCTCGAAACCCGATCTGCTGCCCTTCAAGAAGGGCGCCTTTCATCTCGCCGTACAAGCACAGGTCCCCATTGTGCCCGTCGTCTGCGCAAACTACTTCCACGTTCTCGACGTCAAGGGCAAGCGGTTTTCGCCGGGCATCATCGACGTGACGGTGCTGCCGCCGATACAAACAAAGGGATTGGGCCCAGAGCATGTGGACGAACTGGTCAAGAAAGCCCGAGACGCCATGATGGAGGAGCTGATCCGGCTGAGCCACGTCTCCGGCGCAGGCAACGGCGAGCCCCTACCGCGAAGCACCGGAATCGACGATCAGGCGCGCAGTGAGCTGAGGAAAAGGACTTAGAGCAGCAGGGCGAACAGAGCCCAGACGAGCGGCAGGAGGACATGCCGCACACTTGAGTTTCTGGTATGCACGCCCAGAATGTTGGGAGTGAAGCAAAGTGGTTTTACAGGGGAAAAAGAAAGCATTCAACAGCCCCCCAAAAAAAGAAAGAAAGAAAGAAAGCCGAGGCTGAGAAAGTCATCTGGGCGCGTATGGCGTTTAAGTTGTGGGTGTTTGGGGGTCATCTATGCATATTGATATCCTAGAAGACAACGCATTTGCCCATTGTCCGCAAATGGGAAGCGAGAGAGTGGTGTTGTACATAGTCCGATTTACTTTTTTTTTGAGCGAGCAAAGGGAATAAATGGCCGTGGCGCATTTTTCTACAACTACACCTACAACTACATTGCCTATTTTCGGATTTGCGCCATCCGTGTATGTGTGTATCTTTGACGCGTAAAGACGAAAAGTCGCAACCTGTCTCACATGACGTATGTAAGTCAAAAGGGTCCAAGTACATACACAGTCGTGGTTGTATGCATGGACAAAACTACACACGCGTGTAAAAGACCGGGAAGTGGGCAATCCTTCTAGATGCGAGCGAACAACAGAGAGAGGGGCAGGCGACTGACAACCCCAACTTATGCCCACAGCTGTGTGTCTGAGTGTTGTGAGGCGATCGGCATGCGTTGGCTACCGCATGAGGGAAAACCCTCCCCCCCTCCTCGGGTCAAGTTACCCCTCGATAGGTGGCTAGGTGGTACTTTTTACCCCTCAGGTAAGCCAAATGAGGTATTCCGTCGTGCATACATGTGTACATGTGCAGCGGACGGAACGGACAGCTGGCGACATATACGGCGTGACGTTTGTGCAAGGTACAGTAGTAGCTATATATGTATATACATATATATATATATATGTGTGTGTTTTGGGATTCTCCTTCTTCTGCTACTGTTTTGAATTTCGGAAAGGCTGTCTTGACTTGACTGGACTTGAGCTGGTGAAGAAAGGGTGCGGGCCTTGATACCGCGTTTGAGAAAAAGTAAAATAAGTAGGTCTCGGAAGTACTGAGAGTGTTGAAAGAGCGGGGGCAAGATATGGCGGCTACACAGACGACTGCTGCGCTGGAATACAATGTTGGTGGGAAAAGCGCCATAGTGACTGGTGCGGGCTCTGGTATGTTTGTTGTTATTGCATTTTGCTCTAGTCGTCTTGTTGGTATGCTGAAGCTCAATGTCGATTCCAGGAATCAACTTTTGCTTTGCTGCGCTGCTGCTCAGCCGCGGCTGCTCCGTTGTCATCGCCGATATCTCGCTCCGGCCGGAAGCTCAGAAGCTGGTGGATGAGTACAGCACGAAAGAGGCGGGCAGGCCGCGAGTCGTGTTTGTGCAGACGGACGTGACCGACTGGCAGCAGCTAGAACGCATGTTCAGCGTGGGCGTGGACGAGTTTGGCCAGATTGACATTGTGTGTCCCGGAGCGGGCATCTACGATCCGCACTGGAGCAACTTCTGGCATCCTCCCGGCATGCCTGGCGGGCAGAGCAAAGACAGTCCCGAGGGGGGCCGCTACGCCAGTCTCGACATCAACGTCACGCATCCCATCCGCACGACGCAGCTGGCCATTTCGCACTTCCTGAACCCGCCACCAGGCGTCGACAAGGTCGGCCCGCAGAACCCCAAGAGAGTCATCATCATCTCGAGTGTAGCGGGCCAAAAGGCCAATCTCACCACGCCCATTTACATAGCGGCGAAGCACGCCATGAATGGCTTTATCCGCTCGCTCGGCGCCCTCGACGCGCAACTGGGCATCCGCGTCAACGGCGTGGCTCCCGGTGTTATCAAGACACCGCTTTGGACCGAGCACCCGGAAAAAATGACGTTTCTCGATCTGTCCAAGGACATGTGGGCGACGCCCGAGGAGGTGGCAGAGGCCATGCTGAGGTGTCTGCAGGAGCCTGACCTGGGCGGAGGCACCATCCTCGAGGTGGGTGCTAATCAGACGAGGCTCGTCGAGGCTTTGGTAAGTGATAGGGATAGCGTATTTGCCCACCGGCTCGTCGACAGCGTAGCGCTAACGGACATGGTATTCTAGAATGACCCCGGACCCAGCGGCGCCGGACATACGGTTAGTAAGTTGCAGGATCAGTACAGCGAGGTATACGGGTGGTTGGGCCAGGAGGGATGGGGTGTTAGCCAGACAAAGGGTTGATAGCGTTGCATCGAGTTTGTTCGTTTTTTTCTTTTCTCTCCTTTCCTCAACAGGCATATGCCGTGCTTACCGTCCATAACAAAGCAATTCAGACACGACGGGTTCCCGACTTGCATTGCGCCTGGGGTGTGTATATGTAAGCAATTTTTTCCTCCGATGCAACCGGCTATTTGAGCCATGCTTGGCTGGGCCAAAAGAGCCGCCGGGCGGCCGTAGTGCGGAGGGCGCTCTAAAATTTTGATATACTATCGCAACGTCTAGAACGGTGGAAGTAGGCAAAGAAAAAATCGTCTTCTGACGTCGCTCGCCCGCGCATCGCATTACATAGACAAGACGGACGGCATGGCGATCTCTCTCCCCCCCTGCTACGCGGCGGGCCAGTAGCGCAAGTATGAGATCACAGCGGCGCGACGATGGCGATGGGAGGGGAGGGGGGTTAGGTGTATTTTTCGACGACCGGTGATAGCACCGGGCCAATTGTCCATGGGCTCTTTTCGACGGCAAGGGCGCCGCGATCCTGTCTCGGCCGGTGGCTGGCTTGTCGTGATGAAGCGTGCTGAGTGATGGTGGGATGAGCCTATCGCTGAGTCGGTGGCCCGGCATTGCCACTTGTGACGCTGCAGGCCTTTTTCCATGGAGGGGCTCTCCCGGGCGCGCTACGTATGAAAGTGCTCCACTGCCGCCGCCGCAACAGCTTCCATCAGACGCTCGCCCTCTCCTCCAGACGCTCTTCTCCCCCATTCCTCTTGCTGCTCTCCCCAATTCCAGAGTATCACCACCAGCCCCCCCTCACCCACCCACACATACTCATCAACACACCCCACCACCATGCCCAGCTCTCTCGACCAGCTCAAGGCCGCCGGCACGGTAAGTAGCGCGAACCCCCACGCCATTGCGACGGCAGCGGAAGAATTGTTCAGTCTGACACCATCGTCGTCTACAGACGGTTGTCGCCGACTCGGGTGACTTTGCGACCATCAAGAAGTACCAGCCCCAGGATGCCACAACCAACCCCTCGCTCATCCTCGCCGCCTCCAAGAAGCCCGAGTACGCGTCGCTGATTGACGCCGCCGTTGAGTACGGCAAGAAGCACGGCACCGACCTCGAGAACAAGATCGATGTCACGCTCGACAACCTCCTCGTCCAGTTTGGCAAGGAGATCCTCAAGATTGTCCCCGGCAAGGTCTCAACAGAGGTCGACGCCCGCTTCTCCTTCTCCACCGAGCAGTCGGTCAACAAGGCTCTGCGCATCATCGATGTATGTCTGCACCGCACTTGACCCTGCGACATGACAAAACTGGTATGCTGACTGGGCGCAGCTCTACAAGGAGGCCGGCATTGACAAGGAGCGCGTTCTCATCAAGCTCGCCTCGACATGGGAGGGCATCAAGGCTGCTGAGATCCTGCAGTCCAAGCACGGCATCAACTGCAACCTGACGCTCATGTTCTCCCAAGTCCAGGCCATTGCCGCTGCCGAGGCCGGTGCCTACCTCATTTCTCCCTTTGTTGGCCGTATCCTCGACTGGTACAAGGCCGCGACCAAGAAGGAGTACTCCAAGGAGGAGGACCCCGGTGTCAAGAGCGTCCAGCAAATCTTCAACTACTACAAGAAGCACGGCTACAAGACCATTGTCATGGGTGCCTCTTTCCGCAGCGTCGGCGAGGTCACTGAGCTTGCTGGCTGCGACTACCTGACCATTGCTGTGAGTAGCACCCCTCCGAGATGCCGTGTGCTCCAGGTTACTGACAGACGCAGCCCAACCTGCTCGAGCAGCTCTACAACTCGCAAGACGAGGTCCCCAAGAAGCTCATTTCCGAGGACGCCAGCAAGCTCGACATTGAGAAGAAGAGCTACATCAACGACGAAGCCGAGTTCCGCTTCTACTTCAACGAGGACCAGATGGCCGTCGAGAAGCTCCGCGAGGGTATCTCGAAATTCGCCGCTGACGCCATTACCCTCAAGGACATGCTCCGCGAGAAGATCCAGGCATAAATGGCTTGATCCGATACCGGCGCGGAGAATGAATACATGAAAATAATTATGAGCTTTTTTTTATCATCCAGGTTGAGCACTGAGACTTGACGGAAGCTTCGGATGGCACGTAGATAGCAAAATTGAAATGTCAAAAACCGACACAGGCGTCGCCACCCACACACACACATAGTGATGCTGCTGCTCAAGTGAAACGTGGGCGAGTGGGCAAGGCAATGCGCATTGCGAGGCTGGCCTTGGTGAGGCACGAAAGGAGGGGCTCTGGATTTACAATCATCAGGGGCGGGGCCGGTTCTGGCTCGGCTGGGACGGGCCTGTCTTGTGTCAATGGCGACAAAGCTACGGTGGGTTTGGCGTGACTTGCGTCACTAGGAGCCCCGCATTGAAAGCTCACCCTCCCCCAGCTCGAGGGCGATACGTTCCTCTTTCTCCCCAACCTACCCACGCCTTACACAGTCATCCAAGCCCCAAACTAACACCGCAAGTTCCATCACTTCCCCATCAAACACCACGCACAGAACCGTCACAATGGTCAAAGCCGGTAAGTCCAATACACCACAGCGGCACAGGCTTGCCCGGTTGCGGCAAGGTGGGGTCATCCGGGTGCGTAAGATTGAGCAGATTGTTTTCCAACGACACACCATGTTTAGCGGTATCAATACCACGAGCACAATTGGACGGCGGGAGGGGGTTCCGTTAAACTGAGGACCTTGTTGTCGTTACTGAGAGCCTGTTCCTGGGCTGTCGGTGCTGGCTTTGCTCCAATCAGTTCGTCTTACACCAAACACCCTGATGGCCTTGCGGCCGTAGTCGTTGGTAGTCGTTGCAAGGGGATAGAGTAACACCAAGGAACTGGGGGCGGATAGATCCGAAGATGTGGCTGGGCACACACACGCTGACAATGGGGCAATCACGCAGTCGCCGTCCTCCGAGGAGACTCCAACATCAAGGGCACCGTGACCTTTGAGCAGGCCGACGAGAACTCGCCCACGACCATCTCATGGAACATTACGGGCCACGATGCCAATGCTGAGCGTGGCATGCACGTCCACGCCTTTGGCGACAACACAAACGGCTGCACTTCTGCTGGGCCTCACTGTGAGTTCTGATGCGCTCCCCCCCCGTACGAGCCTTGACACGCGCATGCTGAGACAATACCACACACATAGTCAACCCTCACAACAAGACGCACGGCGCCCCCGACGATGAGGAGCGCCACGTCGGCGACTTGGGCAACTTCAAGACGGACGCCCAGGGCAATGCTCAGGGCTCCGTTACCGACAAGCTGATTAAGCTAATTGGCTCCGAGAGCGTTATCGGCGTACGTCTCTTCCTCCAGTCTCTCTCTTTTTCGTCGAGAATAAACGTACTAACGATATATAACAGCGCACCGTTGTCGTGCACGCTGGAACCGACGACCTTGGCAAGGGCGGCCACGAGGAATCCAAGAAGACTGGCAACGCCGGTGGTCGTCCTGCCTGCGGTGTCATTGGCATCTCCAATTAAGCATGCATGGGCTTTGCAAGACGCTACACCTTTTTTTTTTAAAAAAAAAATATAAAATGATGCCCCTTGACATATTACTTGTCAATGTGTGTGTGTGTGTGTGTCTTATGGGGAAAGCTCATCAAAAGGGACAGTGTCGATGCAATCTAAATTGGCTTCAGTGGTCGTTTGTATCGTTGTAGCTAAATCACAATCTTCTGTCCCAACTATGCTAGTCTTGTGCTGCCGTGACATACATGCCAGTTTGATAGTGTGAATAATAATGCATAACCTCAAGCACCGCGACACGATACTAAAATACTAGTTTGACTTCGTGTAAGAACATGACACACTGCAGCCACAATAAAAGAGAGAGAAAGAGACGGGAGAATGTCAACTATTATTAGTATTCTTCTTCTTCTTCATCGTCATCATCTTCTACATAACTATCAACCGCCCACCTGCCGGCCCGCCCCGCATCTGCAGCCACGTCGTTTATTGCTGGGGTGCAGACCAAGAAAAAAAGGAGACGACTAAATCTCTTTTGAGGGCGGAAAGCAGCACCCTCCCTTAGCTAGACAAAAAAAAAGGAGAAGAAGAATCCTGGGCCAAATCCAAGTGTGACTGGTTTGTAATCTTACTCTTTCTCTCTCTTTCTCTCTCTCTATCTCTCTCTCTCTCTCAAAAACCATGGCTATCATGGCCATCATGAGAGCCACATACTGCCTAACCTCACAGACTCCCCCTTTTCATTTGGTGGTACTGCTTCTTGTGCATTACGACTTTTCGGCACGCGCATAACGCTGCCTCTGCCCTTCCCCTTCCCCCAATCTCCCAAGGAGAAAGAACAGAAGAGAAGAAGAAAAAGAGATACAAAAAACAACAACATCATCAACAACAACAGCAAACAAAAACAACAATTACAAACTCTCCCCCAAAACCCCTTTTTTCGGATTGTAAGCATCGATACCCCCTTTTCTCACCCATCTGACTTGTTCTTCTTCTTCTTCTTCCTCATCACCTTCTTCTTCTACTACTACTACTACTACTACTACTACTACTACTACTACTACTACTACTACTACTACTACTACTACTACTACTACTACTACTACTACTGCTTCTTCTTTCCCCCGTGCTCGCCTTGACATTTGGCACGAACTTTCCATAAAAAAAAAGAGTTGAAAATCAAAGTGCGTATATGCGTATGTGTGTACACACACCTTTGACCAACCTATCAGAGGGCGCACAAGGGCCACAAAAGAAAAGCGAGTGGACAAGCGGTGGGCGCTGTTGCTGTGGTGGTATGCAAAGTCAGTAGAGGACCAGGGTGAGCGACTACCATCTTGGGGAAGCCCATGGAAGAGGCACCTAAGCTGCCATCTACACAACTTTGTCGTGGCCATTTCACAAGTTGACGACTCGTGTGTCGTCATTGAGAAATTGACGCCGATATCGCGCTATCTCTTCGGCAATACCGTTGGGATCTTTGATATTCTTCTGACGGAGCTCCTTCAGTACGCCGCGGAGACCGTCATTCCACCTCTGCTTTTCCTCGGACGTCTTGCCAGGGTTTGCCGTTCCGAGCTGGACAAGCAGCTTATCACCTGTGTGAACATCTAGTCAGTCTGCGTACAATGGAGGGGAGAAACAAAGATGAATGGTAGAACTCCTTCTGTTAAACAACGCACCAGTAATAGTTGCGTCCCTGAAATGCTGGTCAGGGCATTCAGGGTCATTGCAAGCACCACCCGCCGACTCGTATTGGCAGAATGGCTTCATGGCATCTATCTGGTGACTAAAAGTCAACGACAAGAAACCTCCAGGTACGTCTTGGGTAAAGTGTGGGTGATAGCGATATGATTTGAACATGCGAAGCGGGCTTTGGTACGGCTTGAACGCAATCTGCTCGTCCTGTTCCTCGGGCTCAGGTACCTGTTGTAATTTAGTAGAGTTTTGTGAGAGATGAGACAACATACCGGTTGCGCAGCGACCGCCACCGTCGTTCTGGACTGCAGTTCGGGTGCTAGATCATCAGCAATGTTCGTGTCTTGGTGGGGGAAGTTGTGTCCCGAAATTGTGTCCTCGACTTCAGAGCCTGAATCGGATTCATCATCGGAATCGGAATCATCTGAGCTTTCGTCAGATGACGTAGCAATATCCATAGCACCATCTTCCGGCTCAGCCTGGCCTGCTTGAGCACCACTGTCCTGTGTAGCAACCTCTTCATTTGGAGCATCAGTCATATCTTGATCAGCAGTGGGTGGTTCGTAGGCTTCTTCTCCTTCTGCGGAGACATGTGATGTGGATGCAGACGGTGCGACTTCGGGCTGGACCTTTTGTGTTTGTTCTGCCGACATGTTCTCGGCCACTGTGGGTTCTTCTGGCTCATACTCCGGTTCATACTCTTCTTCTTCCTCTTCCTTGCCGCCTTCGCCTTCTGAAACAGACATTTCGGTCTCTCCTTCTGATGGAGAAGGTGTGGCGGCAGATTGAGTCACAGACTGGGCACCATTGGTGTCTGCGGTGGGACCAGCAGATGGGATAACGGACTCCTTTTCAACCGGGGGTTGGGTGCTGTAAAAGTCCTCGTCCATGTCCCTGTCCGATGAGTCTGTTGGACTGTCCGCATTAGCTGCTCCAGTACCGTCTTTGGTCACTCCTTGCACACCAGATGGCGGTTGTGCAACATTGGTGTCCTGCTCATGTCGCAACTGTTCTTCGGCTGTCTGAATAGTACCGTTTATACTCGACATCATTCCTGATCCTTGGGACGGACCGAGATGGTTCGTAGCAGATTGCGGCTGAGCTTGGGGTGTAATATGTTCAAGACCCGGAAGAGTGACGTGTCCCTGGGGATGCTGGTTTGAAGCTGACTGCAGACCAGGCAAGCCGGTTTTTGCAATTCCTCTCCCGCTCGAACTTGCATTTTCGAACGATGTTTGCACAGTTTGAGGAGGGGCAATTCCAGCGGACTGAGGGGCACGATCCGCATTCTCGGGTGAGACATTAGGTGCCGGCGACTGTTCGCGCTCAATCTCATCTTTCTTAGCACGTAGTTGTGCATGAGACATGCCCTCTGTGTCAACACCAAGACTCTCCAGCTCTTTCGTCAACTGTTCCTTGTCCTTGGCAATCCTGTTGTTCAGTGCCGTCAATTTCTCCAATTCCTTGGTCAGCTCAGCCATCCTGCTCGTGTTGCTTGCAATCTCAGCGTCCAAAGTGGGCAGTCTGGATTGGATTTCAGCACGACGAGATTGCGCAGTGCCCTTGCCGCCAGGGGTGCTGGATCGTGCTGGATCCACGGAACGAGGTGACACCGAAGATGAATCCATCATTGGTGTTGGAAGTTTAGATGGTGTCTGGCCCTGGGGGTGCAAGACTGGCGTAGAAGGCTTCTGTACCGAGGGTGAGGAGGCTACGGCAGCAGAAGCTAACCTGTCTCTCTCCCGTTTTTCCGCAAGCTTCTTCTTGAGTGTTTCTCGCATAGCCACAAGCTGCTTCTCTTTGTCCACCAACTCCTTTTCCCGTGCAAGAGTGCTGGGTGTTTGCACCCCAGAGGTACTATCCGCTGGAGTAGCGGGTGCTGCAGATCCAGCATAATGAGCAAAGTGAAGCAGATTTCGACGAGGCGTTTGAACAGTTTGGGGAGCTGGTTGGTCGTCCTCAATGTCCATGTCGCTCCCATTGGATTCATCCTCACTAACTTCTATTATCATGGAATCGTCGTCTTGAGTAGACTGGCCCAAGGGGCGGGTATAGGGCGTGGTGGATTCCCGCGAAGTCGATACCTCGGCCTTTGAGATAGGCAGTTTCTGAGACACAGAGGGCGAGGGCTGAGATGCGGCAAGAGCGGCAGTACTAGAGGCTGGAGTATTATTCATAAAAAGGCCAGGAATTCCGGAGAAAGTCGGGGCATAGTTCTGGGTCGTAGGGCTAGTGACACTGCTTGGAGCCTGTTCTGCAGCTTGGGTTTGCTCTCCTCGTTGTACGGCACCGTTGCTGACGCCACTCGGCGCCTTTTGCTTCGCCTTGATCGCCTCCAGCCGCTGCTTGATCAATTCAGTGTTTCGAGCCCTTTGCTCGTCAGTCACAGGCGGCTTCGCAGTCGGCGTAGTCACAGGCTGGGGTGTGTTGGGCTTGGGGGGCAGTGGGTGTTGCGCCGGGCTCATTGGCTTGGACGATCCAGCTTGTTTGGCGGCCTTTGCGGCCTGTAGGCGTGCGATATAGTCTTTACGGTCACCCGGGGCGGTTGGGGACACGATTGACTTGGTCGAGGGCGCAGGAATAGAACTCGTTTTGAGTGCGGGGACGACTTTGTGTTGCGGGGAGGTTACGGCTGGCGCGCTCGAGGCTGTGTTGTTGGGTTTGGGTGGTAGAATGGGGGCGGGCTCGGATGGGAGGTTCACGCTCTGGTACAGACCTCTCAGCAGTTCGGCATCGAGCTTCTCGTCGGCCAGAGTACGGTATGGAATGTTGTGGCTATGAAGCAGCTTGATGAATTGCCTTGCCGACTCGCGGTCTTGATGTAGTTTGTCCAGGAATGTGGGATGGCTTTCCTGCTTCTGTGTTGTGGCATTGTTGCCATGTCCATTGTGCTGTACGGACGAAGTGGGAGGGGGGCCGCCGTTGACCTTGACTGGCAGAGGAGGGTGTCGTCCGCCGTCGCCGTCGCTCAGTTCACCGTCCTCGCGACCACTGTGCATGATGCGCTGTATGCGTTCGTTGGCAGGAGCGGGTGCAGGAGCGGGTGCAGGAGCGGGTGCCGGGGCTGGGGCTGGTGGAGGAGCAGAAGCCTGCGCAGGCCGATGGGGAAAGGGCGGCGGGAAATGGGCAGGCATAATTGGAGTCTGGGGAGCCTGGGGAGTCTGAGGAGCCGGAGGAAGCGCCGGCGGAGGAAATCCCATGGCGGGAAAGGGCGGCGGAGGCAGGTTAGGCGGAGGGAAGGCGCCGTTCTGGAAGAGAGCCCAGATATTGGGGTCGGGAGGGAGGTGCGGTGGCCAGGTAGCTGCGCGTCGCGTAAGTGGTCCGAAGCACAAGGCATTGGTTAGATGGACGAGACTTACGCGCTGGAAACGGAGGTTGCGGGCTGTTGTGCGCATACGAAGTGAGGTTGATGCCTGGCAGTTGCTGGAGCGGAGGAGCGCCGCTTTGCTCTTCGGGCTGCGCGCCCTGGGGGGGATGCAGCTGCGGCGGGGGAAAGCCGTGTGGAAAGCCGTAGAACGGCTGGGGGTAGTTGCTGGCCATGTTGGAGCGTAGCAGTGCAGCAGTGGCTGGGTGGAACTCTACGCGTCTCTTACCACGGCTGCTTCTGGCGTCAACGCATGGGGCGGAGTAGTGATGGCGATGGCGATGGCGATGGCGGTCGGGATATTGATGGCAAAGGCGAGGATGGGGAGGGCGGGAGCAATGTGCGCGGAGGGGTGGAGCGAGTCGGGGAGGCGGTGGTGGTGGTGGTTGGAGGCGTCGCAGCAACGGAGCACCTGCGCATGCACACTGGCTTGAGACGGTCAATCTTCAATTTCGCGACCGCCCGGGGCTACTGCGGGCTGCACGTGACCCATGCACCACCCACCGTCCCGCGCACGTGACCCAGCACCGCCCGCCTTGCTGCGGCACGCGAGTCAGAGCCCGGCGGCTGCTGGCCCCCATCGCCCGTCGCCCGCGTCGGTGGCGCACGCAGAGGTGCAATGGCAGGTGTGTGTGGGCGTGTGGCGCCGACTGTGGCTCGTTGCTAGGGGCAAGACTACGGCCGTCGTTGTTTACCATGGCATGGCGGTAACGCAAGCACCCGACAGCCTGCATCTCTGCTAACCACCCTCCCTCCCTCCTCCCCTCAGGCAGGCCGTGCGTCCTTGCACATACTTTTTCTCCTGCAGCAGCGTGCGTCCCCCGTCCAGCACCTTGCCTTGCCTTGCCTTCGTACAATGTCAGGCACATAACGCCGTCGCACCCGCCGCCATATTCCACCCACAGCACCGCCATGAGCGCGCCTGCGCCCAATGGCCGCCCCTTCGCGCGCAACTCGCGCACCAGCCCGTTTGCCAGGAACTCGACTGTCTCTTCGCCTGGCTACAACCCCCCGGCCCGTCCACACTCGGCCCTCATCTCCTCGCCGCTGGCCGAAGCGGAGCCCGCCATGGGACACCTGCGCCACCGCTCTCTCACCAATCTCACCAACCTCACCAACCCCACCCTCGCCCACAGCGACTCGACACGCCTACGTTCCAACTCAATTCGCAGCAATACCCCAGTAGGCACCTTTGCACCGCAATTCATCTCCGAAGACGACAGCGAGGCGCTCCGCCTGGGCGGCATCGTAGAGGGCGAAAACGACTTCTCCGGCAAGCGCTATGTCTGGCTTAGGGATCCCACCACCGCCTTTGTCCGCGGCTGGGTTGTGCAGGACCTCCCCGAGGGAAGGATCCTGGTGCAGTGTGACAATGGCACCCAGCAGGAGGTCGATGCCGATGCCATTGACAAGGTCAATCCCGCCAAATTCGACAAGGCCGAAGACATGGCAGAGCTCACACATCTCAACGAGCCCTCGGTCATCCACAATCTACACATGCGGTACCAAGCCGATCTGATATACGTATGTTCTGCCCTCCTGGCGAGTGCATGACCCTGCTGATCTTTTTTTTGTAGACGTATTCCGGCCTGTTCTTGGTAACAGTCAATCCATATTGCCCGCTGCCCATCTACTCGAGAGAATACATCAACATGTACCGGGGGCGCAGCAGAGAGGAGACCAAGCCACATATCTTCGCAATGGCCGATCATGCCTTTCGGAACCTTATCGAAGAGGGCACAAACCAGAGCATTCTCGTAACGTGAGTCGATACACTACTCATAAAAATACTGGCTAATCGTTTGCAGAGGAGAGTCTGGTGCTGGTAAGACGGAGAACACGAAAAAGGTCATCCAGTACTTGGCCGCGGTCGCCAATTCAGACACACCAATCTCCAAGTCAGGAGGACGTCAGCTCTCCAACTTGTCAGAACAGATTCTACGTGCCAACCCGATCCTCGAAGCCTTTGGAAACGCGCAAACGGTGCGAAATAACAATTCGTCCCGCTTTGGAAAGTTTATTAGAATTGAGTTTTCAAGAGCCGGTCACATTGCCGGCGCCTACATTGACTGGTACCTCCTGGAAAAGTCAAGAGTAGTGCGCCTCAACTCCAACGAGCGCAATTACCATGTCTTCTATCAACTGCTGCGCGGTGCCGATAGCCAGATGAAACAAGCATTCTTTTTGGATAACAAAGACACGGAGGATTTCGAGTACACCAAGCACGGCAATGATGCCATTTCCGGTGTGTCAGATCCCGACGAGTGGAACGCTTTGATCGAGGCCTTCCATGTCATGGGATTCAGTGACACGGAGCAAGCTGCTATTTTGAGGACTGTTGCTGCAGTCCTTCATCTGGGAAACATTCGCGCTGTAAAAGAGAGTCGACGAGCAGACCAAGCAGCCCTAAGTCTGGCCGCTGAACAACAGGCACAAATTGTCGCACATCTACTCGGTATCTCCGTCGACGACTTCATCAAAGCACTGCTGCATCCCCGAGTAAAGGCCGGCAGAGAGTGGGTTGAGAAGGTGCAGACACCGGAGCAAGTCAACCTCTCCATCGATGCACTTGCAAAGGGTATCTACGAGCGTGGTTTCGGCGACCTCGTGGACCGTATCAATCGGCAGCTGGACCAGACAGGCACCGGTGCAGAGGATGCACACTTTATTGGTGTTCTCGATATTGCTGGATTCGAAATCTTTGACGAGAATAGCTTCGAACAGCTTTGCATCAACTACACCAACGAGAAACTGCAGCAGTTCTTCAACCACCATATGTTTGTCCTAGAACAAGAAGAGTATGCTCGCGAGCAAATAGAATGGAAATTCATCGACTTTGGCCGCGATCTTCAGCCTACCATCGACCTCATCGAGCTGCCCAACCCTATCGGAATCTTTTCCTGTCTAGACGAAGACTGTGTCATGCCCAAAGCCACCGACAAGAGCTTTACAGAAAAGCTACACTCTCTGTGGGATCGCAAGAGTACCAAGTACAAACGGTCGCTTCTGAAACAAGGCTTTGTTTTAACCCACTACGCTGCTGAGGTAGAATACTCGACGGAGAACTGGCTCGAAAAGAACAAGGACCCGCTGAACGATAACGTCACCCGTCTTCTAGCGTGTTCGTCTGACAGGGAGATTGCAAGCCTCTTTGGGGATTGTGCCGATCTCGACGACGAAGTGGGCGGAACCCGCAGCCGCGTGAAGAAAGGCCTCTTTCGAACAGTGGCTCAGCGCCACAAGGAGCAACTGTCGTCACTGATGACCCAGCTCAACTCCACACATCCCCACTTTGTCCGTTGCATCTTGCCAAACCACAAGAAACGTCCAAAGCAATTCAGTGCTCCTCTTGTGTTGGATCAACTGCGCTGTAATGGTGTTTTGGAAGGTATCCGTATCGCGCGTACCGGTTTCCCCAATCGACTGCCTTTTGTGGAATTCCGACAAAGATACGAGGTGCTGTGCAAAGACCTTCCTCAGGGCTATGTTGAGGGCCAAGTGGCAGCAAACATGATCCTCAGTAAGCTCAACCTCGACCGTTCACTATACCGTGTGGGTATCACCAAAGTCTTCTTCCGTGCTGGAGTCCTTGCCGAACTGGAAGACCAGCGAGATGCGCTTATTCGCGACATCATGATCCGCTTCCAGTCGGTTGCTCGTGGTTTTGTTCAACGCCGTCAGGCTCACAAGCGCCTCTATCGCGCCGAAGCTACACGCATCATCCAACGCAACTTCCAGGTCTACCTTGAGATGCAGGCCAATCCGTGGTGGAGGCTCTTTGCTCGCATGAGACCTATGCTTGGAGCAACACGCCAAGCAGCTGAAGTCAAGAAGCGCGACGAAATGATCCAGCAGTTGGAAGTGAAGATGCAACAAGAGGCTGCGGAAAAACAGCGGGTTGAAGAAGAGCGAAGACGTGCAGAGTTGGACATTCAACGCATCCAGAAAACTCTAGAGAGCGAACGCGCACTGGCACTTGACAAGGAAGAAATCTTCAAGCGTCTTCAGTTGCGCGAGGCTGAGCTTGCCGAGAAGCTAGCTGGAGCCATTGAAGACCAGGACCAGCTTGAGGATCAACTGGATGCTCTTATGGAGGCAAAAAGGAGAACCGAAGAAGACGCCGACCATCTACGCAGAGAGCTCGAGCAAGCCGGAGAGATTATCAGCAGACTCGAAACCGAAGTACAAGAGCTACAGGAGCAGAGCGTTCGCTTAGAAGATCAAATCAAGGAGCTGGAAGCTATCAGGGCAAAGCGAACCGAGGCCGAAGAATCACTTAGTCAAGAGGTGAAGATGCTCCAGAGCCACCTGAGTTTGAAAGAGCGGAAGCTTCAGGACCTCGAGGAAAAACTCTTAAAAACGGACCAGGACCTTGACATAAAGCTTTCAGCTTCCCAAAAGGAAGTCGAAGCTGGCAAAAAAGAGATCAAGGAACTGCTCGATGAAAACAGGCAAATCCGTCAGCAGATTGCCGAACTATCTTCCACCTCGACAAGCTATGAAGATCTCATCAGGCGCAAGGAAAGCGAGCTGGCAATCTTGAGGACTGACCTCAAAAACTACGAAAACGACCGCCGCTTGTTCGACGACGAAAAGCGAACACTGGCCTCCAAGCATGACAGCCTTCAGAGCCGCCTGCGTGATGCGAACGCGGAACTAGACGCCGTACGCTCGCAGAAACAGCAATTGGAACGAGAAGCTGCCGATGCGAAGCGTCTTCTCGAAGAAAAGATCTCTGAGGACGCCCAGTTCAGTGAGAGCCGCAAGGTCTTGGAAGAGCAAATCGAAAAGCTCAAGGGCGAACTCTTCACTGTACAAAAGGAACTCAGTCGTGAGAGGCAGTCGCGTGACGACGTCGAGATGCTTGGTGAGCACAAATACGACACGCTCAAGCGTGACTATGATGCGTTGAACGAATCAAAGATCACGATTGAGAAGGAGATGTATGCTCAGCAAGACGTGCTACGACGAGCGACCGAATCGCGTGCAGCTCATGAAAAAGAGCGAAGGGAGTACCAGAGTGAGCTGAAAACTCTCCGTGAGAAGTATATGAAGCTTGAGGAAGAGAAATTGGATGCCCATGCTGAGGCAGAGCGTGCGCAGTCGAGGCTAGCACTGGAACGACAGACCGTCCAGCAACGCGAACTCGAAGCCAAGGACCAGCAGCTCGACCAACTGGAGGCGGAGCGCAACGACCTGGCCGAGCAGGTTTACAACTTGACCCAGATGCTCGCCGACTCTGAATCGTTCAAAGAACGCAACGACCAGCAGAAAGAGCGTCTTGAACGCGAAATTGTCACAATCAAAGGCCGGCTTACGGCATCGGAGAATGACAACCGCGCGCTCCTCAACAAGCTTCAGCAGAAGAACTTGGACATTGCTCGGACAAACTCACGCGCTGGCGACACGCAGCGTATAAAGATAACTCAACTGACCCATGAGAAAGCCAAGGTGGAAGAAGACAACAAAACCCTCTATCGCCAACTCGAAGATGCGCAAATCACCATTGCCTCTCTGGAGAAGCAAAAGGAGAAGCTATCCTTGGATCTTGAGGACCTCAACCATGAAATCGCCCGAGAGCACAAGACTAGCCGCAACGCAGAGAAGGCTTCGTCAACCATCAACCTTCAACTCGCCGACGTCAACCGTAAGCTGGAGACGGAGCGACAACTACGTACTCAGGCTCAAGCCAACACCCGCGCTGTCCAGACATCTCTCGACAACACGAACCGCGAACTGGAAGAATGCCACAAACAACTCATGCTCCTTCGCAAAGTCTTCGACCCCGAAGCAGCCGACGTGGCCATCACCTACGATGCCGCGAAGCCAGAGATTGCCAAGACAGTGGATATTGCCGAGCGTCTCGAGGCTGCCAACCAGGCTTTGCGTGTAGCAGCAGAACGGTACTCGCGCGCTGAAGCTCAGCTCGAAGAGCTCCGAGAAAGGCACGAGGGCGAGATCAACGACATGGACGCTCGCCATGCTAATTCCAAGCGGGCGCTACTTGAAGAGATGAACAGCAGCCAAGTCAACCAAGCCAATGCTCGCCACACGCCGACACACAACCGAAAAGACAGCGAGAACCGTCGGCCATTCTCAATCACAAACACGCCCACGAACCAGCGACACATGAATGCCGCGAACAACGACTCTGCCCGTTCTGACCGCACTATTGATACCATTACCTTCAACAACCGTATGGACATGGCCGCAGAGCTGGAACAGGTACAGAACCAACTACAGATGTCCGAGATGCAAAACAAGCATCTTCGCAGCCAGCTTGAATCACACGGTCAAAAAGAGTGGCCGGATGAGAGCCCGTCCGTCCGACGTGTGCAGAAACTGGAGCGTGAGAATTACCGTCTGCATGACATGCTCGATGACTCGGCCGAGAAGGTGTCGGCACTCGAGCATAGCCTTCGTTCCGGTCAACTCTCCTACCAGGAGGTCCAGACAAAATCTCATGAGCAGTTGTTTGAGCTCTTGAACTCCCAAGAGCAGTCACGCAAGTCAATCGTACTGGCCCATAACAACGCGATTAATGAGCTTGCTGATGCCAAGACTGCCTTTGACGATATCAAGCAATCCAAGACGATTCTGGAGACACAACTACGCGAGCTTCACGCTGAACTCGAGGACCTCACCGACGAGCGAGAACAGGAGCATGCCAACCACAACCAGCTCCTTCAAGAATTTGCTGACCTTCAAATTCGCCTAGACAATGAGACATCGACCCTTGTTGATGTGCAATCCAGTTTGAATTTGTACAAGAACAGAGCCGATGAATACTTTAGCAAGCTCGAGCAGGCAGAGATTGCTGTTCTACGAGCATCTCGTGCTGAGCAGTTTGCAAGGACTCAGGCTCGCGAAGCTGAAGAGACATGCGCAACGATCATGGCTGAGCGCAAGGAGATGGACGGTATGGTCGAGGACCTGCAACGACAGGTTCAACGGTACGAGGAGCGCATCGAAGACCTTTCGACAGACTTGGAAACTGCTCTGCAGGCCAAGAAACGACTTCAGAACGAGCTTGAAGACTACAGAAGCCAACATGCGCACGACGTCGAGGACAGCGAGACTTCGCTAGAGCAGACGAGGAAGAAGTACCAGTCTGAGCTCCAAGCGCTCACTCAGGAGATTGACCAAGAGCGCGAGACTATCATTCAAGTCCGCGAGGAGAATGGGCGTCTGCGGGAAGAGATTGAAGAGCTGCGAAACAAATGGGACGACGAGGTTCTCAATTCATCGACCTGGGCAAAGGAGAAGAGCCGCCTCGAGATGACCTTGCAGACCATCTCTGACTCGCGTGACGAGGCTGCAAATGCGCACAACGAGGCGCAATCCAAGATCGTCAGCCTGCTATCACAGGTCCGTACACTACGCACCAATGTCGACGACCTTGCGGCAGAGCGTGACTCTGCTATTGAAGAGAAGAAGCGACTCGAGGCTCGTCTCCAAGAAGCTGCAGATGCACTCGACGAACTTTCCCGCTCCGAGTCTCCGGCTACGCGCAACGCTGCTGCTTACGATCGCGATTTGTTGGAGCTCAAGTCTGGCTTGGCCCAACAAGAAGACATTACTGCTGCTGCGGTTGGCAAGATGCGTCGTGCAGAGGCCCTTGCGCAAGAGCTGCAGAAAGATATCGTCGCCGAGCGAGAGGCGAATGTCCAGCTTCATAAAGACAAGGCCGCTGTAGAGAAAAGCCTCAAGGACCTTCAACTTCGCCTCGTCGATCTTGAGACCAAGGGTTACAGTGGGTCAGCTGGCAAGGATGTGCGTTTCCTTCATGGACGCATCCAAGAGGTAGGTTATTTTAGTTCATCTTCTGCGTTTACATTGAATAGTACTGACATTTCCCAGCTCGAAAAGGCTCTCGAAGACAGCGAAACCAGCCGTCTCTCTGAATCTCGCAGTGTTCGCAACGTCGACCGTACAGTCAAGGACCTGCAGACGCAAATTGAGCGTCGTGACAAGCAGAACGCGTCCATCATGGACGACCTCAACAAGTCTCGTGACAAGATTTCCAGTCTCCTCGCCACTATCGACGAGCTCCAGTCTTCAGACTCTACAAATCAGCTCACCGCTAAGCGTGCCGAGCGTGAACTCCGCGAAGAACGTGAGAAGAATCTGCGCCTCGAGCGTGAACTGGAAGGCTGGAAGAACCTACGTGTTGAGCGACGCAGCACCCTTGGCCTTCCCCCAGCACCTGGCAGCGAAGCCGGCGACAACCGCTCGAGGCGAGGTAGTGGAATCGGAATGTTGATGGGTGAAATGGGCGAGGCGACCGGAAATGACAAGGGCAAATATGGCAGTCTCCGGTCGAATCTTCGCCGTGTCAGCGGTCAGAAGGGTTTTTTGTAGTTGATGGGATCTCTGAGGGGAGGGGAGTATGGAGATCCCGGTATCCTTTATTGAAGCTGTGTCCGCCAGTCGAGGAAGAAGAGGACTCAGCAACGAGAGTTGTGGATAATGAAAGTAGCAATGTTATTGAGAAGGTGGAATTGGACTCTGATGAATACGACAGGTTGGCAGACGCCGTGGGGAATCATGCTACGAATGATGGCGCAGGTCGCGCGGAAGAGATGGACTTTGAGATTACGGATGATGAGAGCCAGCCGGGTGACGACGGGGACAGTGCTGTTAGCGGCATCAAGAGGAGGAGAACGATCCGTGTTGTCATTAGGTCCCGGGCGTTTCTGTGATCCGTTCGAGGGCGGATTGGAGCCAGTGCATGGTGCCCTTTGCTTTTCCATTCGTTCATGATGGGGCATCTGCACGTTGTTTTTTGTTTTTTGTTTTTGTTGTTTTTTGTACATTTCCAATCCTTCACATGGCGTTCCAGTTGTGATACCTTTATATCCAGGGAGCTTTGGGACGAGGGTCTTGGATGACTCGACTTGGGGGGTTGCCTTTGAAGGGGCCTCTTCTTGATTGCAGCTTTCGCTGCAGATTATATATATGACTCACGCTTTCTACTATTACCCCCTTATTTAATCACCATATCGCTGCTATGACGCTCGCTAGAATGAGTTGTATAATGGAATTCACGTTGATACCCCTTTTGATTATTCTGGTTCTGTTGTTGAGATGAGCTTGCATGTTGGTCACTGAGAGATGGACGGTGTATTGTTGAAAGATGAATTAAGCAGAGTAAAAACATTAAGATATATACATGACAGTTTGAACAACCACTTTGGAGAGAAACGGACTGCAGCTAGCAAATGCAAGAGGGATATAGACGAGTATTCTAAAGCAGGCAGGCAAACGAAAGGAGTGAGAATGTATCTCCCGCGTAGCCATTGACAATACCTATTAGCACCTTGTAGTCAGCATACTGTATCGGAAAATGTATGGTGGAAGAAGAAGAAGAAGAAGAAGAAGAAGAAGAAGAAGAAGAAGAAAAGACACAACATACCAGCAACAGTGCCAATACCATCCATGACCTCCTGGCACAAATCGCTATCATCAACGACTTCCATCCTGATGTCGACGCCCACGTTGGGGGGAGCGCCATCAGGGTTCTTGGGCGACTGGTAGTTGATACCCCAGAATCTGTGGCGAAAAGCGTTAGCCACATGTCTCGAGTGAAAAGAACAACCAAAAAAAACGCGGAGAAAGAGGAAGAGGAAGAGGAAGATGAAGATGAAGATGAAGAGTAAAAAAAACATACTTGGGCACCTTGCAGTTTGTATACTTTGACTTCTTCTGCGGACAATACGCCATGGCCGTCGTGCCAAAGCACTTGTTCGTATAGGTCCCCGTCTCGCATTGCGCCACCTCCTTGACGGCCAGCGCGAGAATGTCAACGAGCCCGTTGCGGATCCACGTCGGGTACGAGCCGTCGGGGCCGAGGGTGACTTTGATCTCGTTGATGCTGTCAGGTGTGGTTAGGCGGCCTTCCAGCTCGATCTCGTTGGTCTCGCATTGGCCGGATTCGTGGCAGATGGGGCCGATGCTCTCTCTCCTCTTTTTTCTTCCTTTTTTTTTCTCGGGCACTTGTACTTCGCCGGAACCTTCGCTCGTACGCTCGCCCCTTGCAGATCGCATCGCATCGCATCACAGGCTAGTCTGCTTTGTTCAAGGCCACCCACGCACACACGCATCCGCACAAACAAGTGGAGCTGGGTGGTGGTACCTGAACTTCGGTATTACTATTGTACGTACTTACACTGCCCCCCCTGGATTGGCTGCCAAGACAACAGCGGATGCAGACAGCCTACATACATAGAATCGCTTTTGTTTGGGGGAGTTGGGGAGGAGATGGGCGCGCGCGCGTTTGATGTGCTGCTGGGATGGATGCTGGCGAGAGAGAGAGAGAGAGAGAGAGGAAAAAGAAGATTCGCGACGGTCTATTTTGAGTTCTCACACCCCTGGTTCTTGGAAGTGCTGTGCTGTGTTGCGCTGTGGGTGTCATGGATACATGGGTTACTTACAGCGACAGTGGGGAATACGTGAGGCTTGTACACCTACACAGCATGGTTTGGGCTGTGAACAGCAGCTGTAGCGTAGTTGAGGGACATGTCAGCCTCGCTCAAGCCAAGGATACTTACGGTGATGCTCAGGCTGGGTTGCTGGATACGGAGATTGAAGCGGGCTTGTTGCTTCGGCGCTTGGGCGGCGGTGTAAAAGACTGGACGGCGAAGATGGACGCCTGAGGCGAGTAGACGGCGACGTTGAGATGGAGAACTGGGGAGATGGATGGCGGGTGATAGGAAGAAACGACGTGTATAAAAGATGGAGTGAGTCGCTGCTGTGTTGAAAGTATCAGCATCAGCATCAGTATCTCAGCATCCATCAACAGGACCAACAAACAGTTTAATTCTTTTTACTCCAGTCCATCACCTCACAGATATCCATCATGCACTTCACCACCCTCACCACCGCAACCCTCCTGGCTGCCACCGCCTCCGCAGGCGTCGTCCCCGCCGTCAAAGTCGACCACCTCAACAAGCGCAGCGAAGCCGTATGGGACAAGAACGGCAACATCAAACTGACCTGTACATTCCCCCACCCTCTCCTCCTTGCAACCCCCCAAACTAACCCCCCCCCTCCTCCAAACAGTCTCCAAAGAAACCGTCCAAGTCGGCTCCCTCACCACCGACGACATCATGGCCGCAGGCTGAGCATACGGCGAGGGGGGGATAAAAGTGATTGGCTGGTTTGTAGTTTTGTTTACTAAGTACTTAGTTTGGGTTGGGTTGGGTTGGGTTGGCTGTGTACACAGCCTCGACGACAAGAAAGACGGACTAGGTAGGTAGGTAGGTACTGATATGCAGGGGCGGGTCGGCACGCCTTACTTACGTAGGTACATACTGTGGTGTAGCTTATCCTTACTTACATACATACATACATACATACATACATGGCTACCTCCCTAGCCATCTTCCTACATACATTCCTGCATCTCGTAACGACAGCACAGCATCGCACAGGTATTAGACTTTCTGCACCGTGTGGTGACAACGGGGGATACAGTACCGAAGTCGGGTCTGACTGTGAATATCGCAAAAAAAAAAGAGGATGTGTGTGTGGAAAGGATACTTACGTGATGGCGATGGCGATGGCGAAGCTAGAGTTTGAATTGGCATTGAGAAACAAGACTTTCTACACAATCTGCACCTGCATACTGCGCGCGCAATGTGAAGTCGTTATTTAAAAATACCCCACCTGACTTATCGCGTCTCGTTTGGTTTCTGTTCATCTCATTTCGCATTCAATGCAGTTGCATGCATGCTGGGAACAAGCATACATCAGTGTATGAATCTTTCCATGCATATCCACATCCCCCACACCCCACCACCACCACCTCCTCCTCCTCCTTCTCTCCTTCTCTCCTTCTCCGCCTACGTACGTACGTACGTACTGGTACTGTAGACATAATAAGGCCGTAGACTCGGCATGACGTCGGCGGTGTCTCCACACACACACACACACACACACAGAGAGAGAGATGGAGCTCAGCCTCAGAATCAGGTATGCATGCAAGTGGTACCAAGGAGAAAAGCAAAAAAAAAGGAAATAGAAATGGGAATGGAAAAAAGACAAAAAAAAAGAGGCGCCTTGAAGAAGGTGAATGTGAATAGACAGGTGGGATATGAAGATATTTTTTTTTAGAGAGCCAAGCCAATGTGAAGGTGAAGTATATTAAAGGAAAGTTGAATCTAGCTTGGTATATGAGGACAAGAGATGGAGAGAACGCATGTATGTGTTTGGATAGAGAGAAAGGATAGGATCCGAGGAGAGAGACTGGAGGGGGCTTAGGAACGGACCAAGGTGGGTAGTGGGGGAAAAAGAGGCTCAGCATATTTCCCGGGTTGAATCGGACAGAATAGAATGGCTTAGCTGTGTAAGTTAGTAGTAGTAGTAGTAGCACCACGAGTCGTGGGGCAAGGCATACTTTCAACAAGACGGCGAGGTAGGACGCCTTGAAGCCAAGCTAGACGCCTTGGAGCGAAGCTACATGTATAAAACGGGTATAATATTTCCTTTATTTCTTGATGTATACTTGGGTGTGTACTAACTACCTTTTTTTATTTATTTTTGTTTCTAAATCTTGGCTCCGTGCACAAACAGCCTCTTGCCGTGTGTTTCCTCGTGCTTCTTCTCGCCGGGCTCGCCGGCGCGGCCGCCAAAGACCAGTTGGGCCCTGAGCTTCCAGGCGACGGGAATGTTCCAGCGCTCAGCGGCCTTGGGGTCGACGAGAGGGTTGTAGTGCTGCAGGTTTGCGCCAAAGCCCTCGGCCTCGAGAGCGACCCACAGCGCATACTGGTGCATTGCGTTTGTCTGGTCGGACCAATCGCCAAAGTGGTGTGCGTAGATGGCTGGAGATGGATTAGTTGGTTATTGCATGAGTTGATGTGTCACGTGTATGACGTGATAAGACGGGGTGACTTACGGAAAGCTTTGCGCAGGTTCTCAACAGGCTCCGGGTCTTCGTAGAAGAGAATCTGCAAGGCATCATTAGTGTTCTGATGCTTTTACTTTTGGCATGTTTTCACCCAAAGGAGTCGCGCGGCTCGTGGTGAGGAAATAGGCTTTGGTACTTGCATGGCGGGGCAGTCCCAGCTCACGCATGCAATGGCCTCGGCAAGCGTCGCTCAAGGTTGGTTGGGGTGTATACAAAGAAAATGGTGACGTACAGTTCCATAGGCAGCCTTGAAGCTATTGACCCTGGTCTCTGACTGGGCGAATTGGTCCGCGGGGACAATGGGCTTCAGGACCTCGAGGACATAGTCCCAGAATTGGTCGTGGTCTGCGTTGAGGAGAACAACGAGACGAGTGCTCTGAGAGTTGAAGGACGAGGGGACGTGGAGGAGAGCCTTCTCAGCAAGGTCGGTAATCTGCTTGTCTGAGATGGGGGCCTGCTTGTTGAGCTGGTAGATGGTGCGACGGTCCTTGACGGCGTCGAGGAAGGGCTTTTGGGCAGACATGATGGGCGGTGATGTTGAAAAGGTGGCGGAAGAGGATGCAAGTATGCTTGAAGAGGAAGAAGAAGAGGGTACTGAAGGTTGTGCCAGACGCAGGGAGGTCACGCTCTTGTATCCCGCACCGGCCCAGGCGCGGTGCCTAGCAGCACGTAAGGTATTGCTCAGCAATTGCGCCATCGATTCGGTTAGGTGGAGTGGAGGAGCCGTGGAAGCTTGATCCCCGGAAAGGTCGTGGGCCGACAATTGGAGCGTCGAGGCTATGTTTTGCAGTAGCAAGGCGAGGAAAAGACCGGCTATCAGGCCGGTGAGGAGAGAGCGTGGGGCGAACATGGCCGGCACGACATAACACGAGCTGCAGGTTTGTCAGGTTGACGCGAGCTCGATGGAGGCGGTTAAGGGCTTGGGCTGATGATTATTACTCATCTTGGCGGTTAATGGTCGCGCCGGATGGGCCCCTGTAAGCGTTCCGGAATGTGGAACTGGCGCGTTGCCGAGCGATTAAAAATGCATTTACAATCCATCTGTCAGCTGCCATGTGTTTGGGTGCGCGCCAATTCCGCGCGCGGCACCAGGATGCTCCCTGGACCTTATACCCAACCACGCCCTGCTTGGACTTGATGCGTGATTTTGTTAAAATAGAGCAGGAAGACGGTGAGGTTGTGTCTTTGCATTGTGCATACGGTTGTGGCGTTTGTTGGACGTTGAAGCTACCAATACCATGGAAAGACTAGAAGTCGGAGTGCCTAGCGGGGCAGGTGATGATATGCCAATCGTAATTCAGAACACATTCTACCATGTCCAATCTAGTAGTCTTGAAGAGATGAAGTCATGTGTTCAGATTTTATTAACATGGAAGATGGAATTCTAGCATGCATCTGTGTATCTCACAACAAGTCAATCCAATAAGGCGACGTGTGAAAAGGCAAAGATAAGCCTCAGCACTGCATTTTCACAATCCGTTGCAGTGGCGAACTTGATACTGCCAAAATTCGTATATATATACAAAGATAGTCTATATAACAGAACTATGAGAAGAAGAAGAAGAAGAAGAAGAAGAAGAAGAAGAAGAAGAAGAAGAAGAAGAAGAAGAAGAAGTACCATAGGTTGCTTCATGTTTCTGCTACGCGCGTTAACTATTTAAAAGTAAAGTTATATTGAGTGACCAAAAAAAAACACATACGACAATGGCTTTCTTCTCTTTGCGTTCAAGTCTCTTGTCCGAAAGTGTGCGGCCTAGTTAGTTTTTTCGGCGCCGAGACCAATGCCGATGGCGAGGATTCCGGCCATGGTTCTGGTGGGGGATAAAGAGTCTGAGGACTGGGGGGTTTGTTTTAGTCTTGGATGTGTTGTTAGAAGTTTGCTTTTCTCGTAACGGATAGCCAAGAGTTTGTCTTTGTCGATTATTTTTTTTCGTAGATCTTTTTGACTGTGTGTCAGGGCAGAAGCTGGAATGGATATAGCAATAGGGCTAGAGTTTGTTTTTTCTGTTTCGCAATGGTTTCATTCAAGTGTTCAGCTCAATGGCAATGGCGTGAAGCAGTTTGGCTCGTTTGTTATCATGCATGATGGAGGCGTTAGGGTTGTAAAAGTGGTGACGTTATCGAGGTGGCGCAGTTCATGACGCTCTAATTGCATCAGGGAGTGTTGGTGGCTGACAGAAGGTACATGGAGAGCTGGGCCGTCATTAGGCGTGTGCAAGAGAAGCAACCTATGTGTATGCGTCGGTCAAGTTGGAGATATCACGGAGCTATTGCTATCACAATTGCCAAAGCAAAGTAGGCTTTGTTCGCAGGTGCCATGGATGCGCGCAGCGACCGAAGAAGCGGCGGAAAGTTTGGAATGCAGAGTTTTGGCGATTGCAGTGCACTGGGCTTGCACTTGTGTGCGACGAACTTTCTCACAGCGCCAGCAGGCTTGCCTTGTGCGTGTCCACTTTTTTACCATTACTAGACGTTAGCCCATGACAGGTGATGACATTGGCACAAAGGATACAAGCGACTTGGACAAATTCAAGCTTTGTGGGAATTTCCGCTGACTTGCTGGCTGCTGGCTTGATGCTTTCCCCACGATTCCGGCTGACAGGTGTGGGTGCAGGAGCTGGGAGCTGGGAGTGGAACTGGGACTGGGAGTGGACTCGATCTCGATGGGGGCATTTGCAGCTTCCAGGATCGTCGACCAGGATGCGGTTGATCACCCGATGGGCCGCTCAGGACGGGTGGAGCGGCCATGGGCGTCTTTTGCATGATATGGTTGGGGGTGTGCATCCATATGCTATATACGCAAAACGGCCGTCAGCCAGGTGGGAATAGCCTTTGGGGGGGCGTGTATGACGTGAGGCAGGCAGCAGAGGGCCAAAGCAAGACGTGTGCTGGACGCGGTACAACAGCGCTGTGCTTGCCCCATGGTGGCAACGCGAGCAACTGCATGCTTACTGTACGCTATACCAGAAGCATGCCACTGACTCTGAACGTTTTTGTGGCTCCTGGGGGGTTTGGTGTGGATGTGATGGTAAGACGCAGCATTGGCCAATGGGGTCGCGAGGGCGGGGGCTCCTAGCACCAGGGCGCTGCTGGGGCAGTGTGACCAACAAGAGGCGTGAATGCCACGGGCAAGAGGGAGAGTGGTGGTCATGGTGCTCGGCAAAGGGACGGGCGTGGGCTTATCACATGGGAAGAAGAGCGTTTCAGCATGGCTTGGGCGGGCGTGCGAGTCTGTCGAGTGTTGGGCATGCTTGGCTGTTCTGACATGGGGCGCGGCGCATGCAGCCATGGAGCGGACATGGAGCGGGCGGACGGGCATGTGTCCAGGACGCGGTGCCCCCTGGCTTGGGTGTGTGCGTGTGAGTGTGCGTGTGAGTGTGCGTGTGAGTGTGCGTGTGAGTGTGCGTGTGAGTGTGCGTGTGAGTGTGCGTGTGAGTGTGCGTGTGAGTGTGCGTGTGAGTGTGCGTGTGAGTGTGCGTGTGAGTGTGCGTGTGAGTGTGCGTGTGAGTGTGCGTGTGAGTGTGCGTGTGAGTGTGCGTGTGAGTGTGCGTGTGAGTGTGCGTAAGAAAGAGTGTGTGTGTGCGCGCGTGTGTGAGTCGTCGTGGAGCAGGCAAAAACAACGACCAAGGACGGAACACGGACCAAGGCGGGGCGAATGGGCGTGGGCGCCGGGGTTGCACGGGAGGCGTGATGCTGGGCCGGAGAATGAGAGAGAGAGAGAGAGTGTGTGTGTGTGTGTTGGTGTGAGTGTGAGCAGAGCATGAGAGGGAGAGGGAGCGTGTCAAGGGCGGACGGGTGGATGCTTTTTTGGCTCGGGCTTTCTACCGGCAAGCCGAGAAGCGCTGGCGGCGGGCGTCATTGGCTGCGGGAGCCGATGCTGCGTC